AATATCTTATACTTGTCTAAACTGACATTGACGATGCTTGGATTGAAAATAACCTTATCAGGTGCACTAAGAACTAAGCTTTTTTTCTTCGTGAGAAGGCATTGTTTGGAATGTGATGTTGTTAGCAGGAATGTTTGAAAATAGCATTTCGATATTTCATCGCTGATTCTCAATCAAAGTTAGACAGACAACAAAGAGTGTCTATTTCGGTGAACCGCTTCAGTTTATCGTAATCTACAGTTCAAGTGAAAATGATCCCTCAGAGAGTGAGTGAAACACGGTAATTCCCTTATTCCTGTATACTCCGATAAGATAATCTGCATGTAGACGTCTCCAAAATGTTTTAGTTTGTTTAGTTCAAGCGGAACATAGGATATGGCTTTCACACTCCCGCACATTGCCGAGGGAGGCCAATCCTCAACAACCTGTTGATGGTCACGGTATGAAAGAGGCCTGTTCTCTGGATAAAGCTTTTTTATCCTTTATTAGGCAGGAATAATTTCCAGACAAAGGCTTCTCAAGCGCAGTTACACGCACACGCACACGCATTCCAAGTTTTGCTTTTAACCATCTCCTTAAGTTTTGCTAAATCATTTCTAAAATTCAAAAAACGCTTCTTTACCATTTCAGATTTTCTTTCAACTAACCTTGTTATAACGTGTGAGCATAACATTTCTAAAACTTGCTTGGATTGCTAAATCATTTCTAAAACTTACTTGGATTGCTAAATCATTTCTAAAACTTGCTTGGATTGCTAAATCATTTCTAAAACTCAGAAAACGCTTGTGAGAAAGAAGTTTACGAGTCATCTGGACAAAGCGCTTTTATCCTTTATCAAGCTGGAAGATACAACTAATTCCTGTCATCTAGACAAAACGCTTTTATCCTTTATCAGGCACACGCATTTCAGCGTCATTTGCGCTTGCGCGATGAAATCGATATTACAGTTAAAAGCAGACCATTCAAAAGGATTATATCATTTAGGAGCAAAACAAGCCGCGAACTACATGCTACATAATCATAAGCTCCAAACCTTACCGTGTTGGTCAATGGATTCCTTCTGATCACAAATTTCTTGACAAATGATTTACCAACTTGATCATAGAAGTCCAAATTAAATACAGAAATACGTTAGCGTTATTAATGGCTCTTTATCCACCAGCTGGAGATGAAGAAACAGCTAGTGATGAAACTCCGCCGATAGTTGCTTATGGTACAAAGGAAGACCTCGTTCTCCATCCACCCATTCAAGAATTATTGAAAGCTATCATCTCCGACCCCGAGATCAACATGTTTTTCCATCAGATGTTCTGGCAACAGTACAAACTTCCAGGTATTTCGAAAGGGGCAAGTATCTCTTTCTGACAACTGATGATTATTTTAATAGACCACATCATGAAAAAACTCCAGAGTACAACAAAACTGGCTGGGTTGGTCTCCCCATCAATGTAATCCTGAACTGGCTGATGGCTACGACTGCTGGATTTGCTGCTTTCCTCAACGACAAATCAACAGGTTGTTTTACCTTTTGAGTAGTTTGTCCTCGATCGTTGTAATAGGCCTGTTGTACGATAATTGTCATCGCTGGTCGTGTTTGCGCTTGTCTTTGCTTAGAGCCTTCAACGGGAGATTTTGTTCAAGGTTTTAGCCATCGATATTTGCAAGTTTTTCAAGCAAATCTTTTTGTGCCACGAGCATGTCTGATAATTGATGGTGTATTTTCAAACCAAAGCATTTAATCGCTTATTTTAGCATCTGCGATGGGATTTTTAATAATAGTTACAAACCAAAAGTGTCTTAACTCACATTTGGAGTGAAAGATCTTCCCAGGGTTTACCGAAATTGCGATAATAGCAAACTTAATCCTCGATGTGCACATTACCACTTAGTTGGTTTCTGATGTGTAGAAATAAAGCACTGAAAGAGTGTAAAGGGCTTAGATATTTTGCTTTCAACTGTTCTTGTTAAAACATCATATTGCAAACAACACTTCACCGGGAGAACAAATTCTAGTCTCGAGCGAACCTGTTTGGTTCATTTTTAGTAACACAATTGTCAATTGTGTGCTAACCCAATCGTATAAACACTAGACCAAAATTGGCTTGAATAAGTGCTGTAGGATTTTTAAGGTATTCTTTGATATACACATATATATTTCGATATTACAGAGAAACCCTCTTTGGACTCAAGGCGGGAATTTCAGCTTTAGCTTTCTAAGAGATTTTCAAGATGACCAACACACTGCGTTGTGGTAAGTCAAGCCTCACAAGTTCTGCTGAATGAAATTAATAAGTCATCATGATAGGCTTAGTATCTTTAAAGAGAACCGCATTCAATTCGACCAGTTTTAGTAACCTGATTTGTATCGAGCATAATAAGACTGACTATAAAAATATGCAGCCTTCGAAGAAGAAGAAACTCCAGTCCTTCATACAGAGAAAATCTGACACATTTTTGAGAGGTTCTGAGTTTTTGGTACTTCAAAAGAGCTTGCGTAACGATGAGCTGTACTTCTAAAAGAGGCGCCAGTTTTCAAATTCCTGAACTCTTCCTTACCAGTTGGATATTGCCGTTACTTAGCCCTATCCTTTTCTTTCCTGCGCATTCGACAAGATGAGAACCTGAGTAACCTGAACGTACCTGAACGTAACTAACAATAGTGCACCAATATTGCTC